AATTGGAGCAACGCACCTCTGGATGGATAACTGCGCCGAGGAGGAAAACGGAAAAGAGCCATTTGGAGACGAAGAATTTCCTGGTGGAGAAATGCAACTTGGGATCAAGTTTGCGCAAAATAGCATTTCCAAGTTCTATAAGGCCTTCGGGGATACCACCTTCTCCGGGGTCATCCACGACCTCAAAAAGCCCTTGAACGGCTGCATCATAAAACTCATCCGCTGCTATAGTATCCTTGGTGTTCCGCGGCTCAACATGGATGCGGGTGCCTGCCTGGTCCTCGGCCTTCTCCAAAAGGAACGCTCCATCCTCGAGGATCTTCATGAGGTACCACTCCATATTACTCTTTCCGGACCAATCCCGCATCGCGGTCCAAACATTCAGAACACAGCAGATAAAGGGGTCCGTCCCGGTCTTGCCCATGGTAATCAGCTTCGCGCAAGTGGCAGCCCACACGTCTGTCCGGCGCAGATCCTCGCCGGAGTCTGGGCCCGCCGAGTTGGCAAAGCAAGTATGAATCAAAGCAGACAAGGGATCATGACGCTGAAAGGAAAGCAGACGCTCAACTGGGGAAGGTATATGCGCGGACGCGCGATGGGCGCTGGAGACATGGCCTTTCGAGCGCGGGTTATGGTACGGCAGCACCGTGTTGATGCTCTCTAAGCCCTGGTGGAATACCAACAAACCCGACAGTTCCTGGGGGGTTAGGCTGCAGATCCGACTGGCTAGGTAGTCCGGATTTGTCCTGATCTGGGTCAAAAATTTGAGTAAGCTTTCACGCGAACGCTGGGGGATTTCATGCATGAACGTAGAGGAGGAGAGGGTTCTGGGCTCGCCTCCCGCACCGGGAGATGCGCGGCAGGCCTCCAGGTCTGTTTCCAAGAGGGCGAAGCGGCGGGTCGCGTCGCATGAGTTCCGCACATCATGGATAGCGTTGTAGAGGCTGGCAAAGCTCTTCTTCTCGTCGGCCCTGAAATTGTCAACCAGCGTCCGATTCGCCAGCTCTCCGCATCGTACCAGACGCGCCGAGATGGCGGTTGACACCAGCGATCGCTGTAGCCGGACGCGAGAATGGGTTCTCTTCCTCTCTTGGTATGTAGACAGCCGGACGAGGTGCGCCAACTCTTCCAAGGTTGTGTTGGCCGTCGCGGCCGTTACAGCGGGAAACTGTGGGTTCATATACTGGGAGACATCTTGAAGTAGAGGAAGCTGGGGCAGCTTGGTGGGAGTGGCAGGGGCTGGGGGTTCTGGCTGGGGCTGGCTCTGGGTCGCATCTCTTCTACGAGTTGTTGCAGGTGCAGGAGAGGGAGAGGAGCGTCTTCTGGTGCTGCTCCGGGTCGTCTCACCATCAGTGGGCTCTTGGTAGGACGTGGGAGGTCTATTGGGGCTGCGGGATGGAAATCGAGGGAGGGGCACTGTGGTGTTTCCAGGTGGAGATGGCGTTGGACTTCGCGACGAGAGCTGGGTGATAGTAGGAGAGACGGCTGTCGAGTTTGGGATGTCAGTATATATGAAAATATGGATAGACAAGCGCGCAGGAAGTCAGTAGCCAAAGCAAGAGAGCCGAACGAAACCTACGGTCGCGCTGCATTTGTATCATGGCTCCATCGGGAGCTGGGCTCGCGGCGACCTCGAGCTTCGCAGCGTCGAGATGCTACAAGTGAGCAAACAAGAGGGAGGACGATGGTAAGAAGGAAATGGGATGCTCGACGGCGACACGAAGCTCTGCTCTCTCTCTGGGATGCGACCTCTGCTTGCTGGAGAGGGGCGGGGCGGGGAGATAAGAAGCTGGGCAAACATCGGGCGTGGACAACGACAACAACAAGGATTGGCGACGACGAGAATCTGTCTGGGAGGGAGGAGGAAGGGTCCGGGTCAGGGTGAGGATGAGAGCGGAAATGAGGGTGAAGAGAAGAGAAGAGAAGGGAGTGATGGACATGGACATGGATATGTAGATGAGTAAGTAATACAGTCCTGCCATACATTCATTCCTTCAGTCGCCTTTCTTTGCCTTTGCCTTTGCCTTTGCCTATGCCTATGCCTCTTTGCCTCTTTGCCTTAGCCTTTGCCTGAATCCGCTGCCACTCTCACACTGCCGCTGACAGATGGGGAGGATTTGTTGGCAAACTGGCGCCAGGGACCAGGACCAGGACCAGGAGATTGATTCTCCACCCCAATCACGGCCCTGGAGCCAGCGCAGTAGGGACCGAACCAGGATCACGAGGATCACCGCATGCGCTGCGCTCTCTGCTGTCCGTCCATAAGATCGAATCGAGAGACAGATGGACGAAGAGCCGGAAACACTCGACTCGGGCATACAACTTATATCGCTGTCGCTGTCGCCGTCACCGTCACCGACGCCGTGGCCTCGGCCTCTTTCAGCCGCCCGCAGATCTAGCCAGCCAGCTATGCAGATGTCATGCATAGGCTACTGGACCACAAGTACCGTCCCACAAGCCTCCTTGCGCGTGCCACGCTGGCCGAACCCCAATGTTTGTGGTGTTTGCCCTGGAAACAGTACTTATTCTGGCATCTACCTTGGAAGTTGGTACGAGGGAATCAGAGATGGGGACAGACAACTGGCTGGGACCGGTCTTGGAAATGGATGCTCGGGACTGGGGACTAGAGGACAAGAAAAGAAGGGATGAGACGTCCCGTCCCTATCATCGACCCACGCACGTACCAGAGAAGCAAATGCAAAAAAGAACCGTCGTCGAGTGAGAGGTAGAGCAGAGCAGAGCAAAAGTACCGGTAGCTGCTTGCCAGCACATACTGCCTTAGTCCGAGGCTGCCGATCATGCACCTATCCACACTGTGCCTATCCACTCGTTGTGTTTTCTGGACTCGATATGGATATGCATGTATCCTGTAAGCCAAATACGCGACCTGCTTTAAAGCTAGCACGGTGGATAGGTAGCGGTATATCTACGGAGTACATAGGTAGCGATTCCGATATCTAACTTGAGAGGTGCAATTATGCTGTCGATACGTCACCTCTAGCTAGCTTCACAACAGATTAGATATCGTCTTTTGTAATGTCGCCTTTAGTATGATATTAATACAAAAGTCCTGTATAATTAAGGAATTTCTTCTCTTTTCAAACAGACCCGCATAAACAAAGAGCGAATGAGAAGAGGAAGGGGAAACGTGATTCGCAATGTCGGTGTCGGCGCAGTGCACTAAGCCTATGTCACGCGTCATCTTCGGCATTTATTTTATTGCAATATAGATACAGAAGTTGAGGACGCCCTCATCGAACTCGTTAATGAGTCCGACAAACAGCAATTTGGCGCAGAGGAAGCGCGCGGGGCTCATAACCCTGAGGTCCCAAGATCGAAACTTGGAATTGCTACATACTAATTTTTGATCTGTATGCTTTTTCGTTTCTCGGGGGCAGGAGCGGGGTGGCTCATTGTGAGTTTTTTTTTTTGGCTTTTTTTTTTTTTGGTTTTCGGAAATCCATCTTATGTCCGACGCTAGCCGGTCGTAAGCGCCGTAAGCGAAACTGCTTTTCGACTTCATACCTTGAATCGCCCAAATATTCTTCTATCAGTTACCGACACGACTTGAAGGACACGCCAATCAATTTTTAGCCCTGGATATCATACACGTCTGTTATCTCAGTGCTAGGAAGTCGACGGCTATTTTTGGTACTGCGACCTGCGTGCATGGTCCGGAGCAAGGTCTGATCAGCCAGCGACTTTCCTAGAAGCCATCACCATATATTTCGAGCCTCTGCAACGATACCATCAAGTCTCTTAGAGGTCACTACCTCATACTTCATGCTTCCCCTTGGAACTAAACCACGACTCGTCGAATACAGTGCTTCCTATCCACCCTCATGCATCGCCAAAGACCAAGAGACTCTGGACCCGGATCCCGCCAAACCCACGTTGGCGCAACAATCCCCGGCCACGATGCCAGGGAAATTCAGCAACGACCATGATGCTAACTCTCTTCATCTCGACGTCCGCCCTGGCCAAAAGTTGCAAGATCGCACAAAGCGTCCTGCCCGAGGAAAGAACGTCATCCACGACCACGACCGACCCGGCCTTGGGAACCACACCAATCTCCATCTCGATCTGCCTGCCTCGTGGGCTCTCGGCACCAGATATGTAGGACGATGGCTTGCTCTCTGAGACGGTCGGTGGAGGGAGTTTGCCAGCTTCGCGTATCAATACCAACGGCACCTTGACCTGGGACGCCAGACTGGGAGCAAAGATAAAGCCACCCGCCTCGCAACATGCAATTGCACCCACCTCAGACCATTCTCCGGCGAACTGCTGTTGAAATTGAGATGTGCAAAGCCCTAATCCACCTTTCTTTTGGGCAATGCCAAGCACGTGACGGAATCCGATACCTGGGCATGGGAAGTCGGGCACCTGGCGAACCATTTGGTTGAGTCGGTGGAGGTCCTCGTGAACGAGTGGAAGCAAGTATTTCTCAGCAAAGAACTTGACCGCGTCCGCGGTATTCTTTTCATTCTCGAAGACCAGACTAGGACAATCATGCAAGCTCGTGTCCTCAGTTTCATCGGTACTGCTGCCACGAGCTTTCCGGATTTCTTCACTGGCTCTCACCCGGACTTCAAGTACCCTACTACCCACGACCAGATGTGAGAAGGCTACGAGCGGCGCCTCGTCTCTCATGCCCGTAATAAAGAGCACATCAGTATCAACAGCTCCACGGACCAAATCCTGAAAATGATCTTCCGGTCGACGAGGTCGTCGCCGCCCCTGCTCTTCGAAGAAGGCCGTCAGCGCTGGCCGATGCTGCTCCTTGTAATCACGGTCCGAGAAGATTCGCCCCAGATCTGCACCTGTGGCAGCCGCATATTCTCGCTTAGTTGCGTCGCTGATGCTGACGACGTGTGCACGGAAGCACAGACTCTTGAAAACCTCAACCCACACGCCAGCACAATAATCCTTTCCTGCACAGCTCTTCCCGGTCACGAGGATGATGAGCTTCTGCGCAATTGGGTTCTCAGGGAGTGGACAGGCGTAAGCCAACACGTTGTGCGGGTCGAATCTGCGCTTGAGACGGGCGAGGCGTGGCAAGTTTAGACCGAATGTCTTTGTCGCCAGAATCGCGTCTCGAGGGTCCGGTCCCAGGTCAGCACCGTAGACCCCAGTGCTCAATGGGAGCAGTTTCTCGGCGACGCTGTACACCCATCGAACGGAAGCTTGGGCGGCTGTACTGCCATCCTGATCCCTGGACCAGACGCCAGTGATTACACAGGCGTAGGTCCAGGTTCGACAGCCGAAGGCAGATGTGCCAGGGTCAACATATCTTGCTTTGCCGCCGCCTTCAAGCAAGTGGAGGTAGCATAGAGGCGAGGGACGCGCTCGAATGGCATTGACGAGAACCGTGACAACATTCGTCGCTCCGATGTCTCTGAGAAACAAACATCGCTTGAACGAAGAGGTTTTACCGCTCCCATGTCCTCCGTGCAAATCTGATACGTACATGTCAGCGTCGAAAATCCCGATACTGTCAACGGTCTTGAGGTTGTCATTCGAGTCTAGAAACGAACATTGGGGCGTGGGCTTGGGCTTGGGATTCTCGGGGATGCAGTCAGATGAGACCACATCGAACGCGGAGACGCCCAGATGCAGCTGCTTGTCGTCCCAGTACAGATATACGTCTGTACAACAACTACTCGGAAGAACGCCAACCACACTGGCTTCGAGTTCACTAAGCTTATTCCGAGCCTCATCATCGTTGGCTAGTGGAATGACCCAGCTTCGAACGGAATATGTCGGGGCTTCGTAAGCTTTGAAAGTAACGCTCATGACAATGCCAAAGTTCGTCCCGGCTCCTCTTATTGCCCACAGCAGATCCGCTCCGTTGTCTGGACGCACCGCACCCACAGGCCAATACTGTCTTGGTACCTCGCCGACACACATGATCTGCGCGGACTCGACGCTGACCACTATAGCACCAACAATGGAATCGCATGCGAGCCCGTGCAGCTTCGTCAGATGTCCTATCCCGCCTTGTAGATACAGGCCTGCACCCACACTCGGTCGGGCTCCCAACGGCACGGTCAACCCGGCGGCCATGCTCCTTCGGATAACGTTTCCTGTCTTGCAGCCACTCTCGACCATAATGAATGCACCAGGCTTTAACCCAGCTTCTCCGCAACCCATGTCGTCCTTGAAAATATGCATCTGATCAAAGGCGCTCATATCAACCGAGACGACGTTTGGCCAGAGACAGTTTCCACTGTGCCCTCCACCGAGAACGGTCAATCGGAAATCATACTTCAGCGCCCATTCCACGCATCTCTGGACGTGACTAATTTCTGTCGGCCTCATAATCGTCGCCGGGCGGCGTAAGCGAGCTTCCCAGCTCTTGACCAACAGGCCTTCTGCCGCCGTCGGCACCTGATCTGTCAGCTCGGACAACTTGTCCGAATGCCGGCTAAAGGTAGCCATGATAGTAGGCGAGTCGAAAAAGAGTTCTCCTGGGCGGGTGGCATCACGACGACCTAAATCCCGGCACACCTTCCGCCAACAAACTCGACAGTTCATGTCAGCATGTACAGCCAGCGCGACTCGCGCTGCGACGAAGGGAGTGAAGCTATCCAGTGACCCATCCTCATCTGCTACGCTGGCTACCCCTGTAGGATATGAAGCTGTGCGGTGGCATACCAAGCCATCAAGGCAAAGTATTCCCTCGCGATGAAAGACCACCACCACTCCGTCTGTTGAAAGCATCCCCAGCGCCTTCTCGATGAACTTTCGTTTGTGCTTCATCCCATACATGCTGTGGCAGAATAGGATGATGTCGTATTGCTCTTCGATGGCACCTCTCCCCTTGTTGGGACCACATTCTAGGTCGAAGGGACGTCGATGTATGGTGAATGGAGTATCCAGAGAAGAAAGTGGTCCCTCCTTCTCGGAGCCGTCGCAGATCCACTTCTCCAGCCTCGCCGCAAACAGCCCGTTGGGCTCGAACGCAGTGTATCTTCTGATCTTACCCCTCAAGTGCACAGGGAGATGTCCAAGTAGGCTCTTTGGACCAGGTCCAATCTCCAGCACCGATACACGTTCATGTGCACTGAGGAGAGGTGCTAGCTGCTGGCACAGCTGAGGAATGATGAAATGCCGATACGTTTCTATTTCAGAGCCCTGCGACAGGGTCTCGAAGCCGGCACTGTACTCTGTATCTGTCAACCGCCGTCCCAGAGACCATGCTCTTGCCGAGGCTTCCCCCGTGAGAGCCTGCTTTAGGGTGTCGAGATTGACCATCTTGATCTTGGTGTGCAGCAATCTTGCAACTACCTGTGACGAGGGGAAGATTTCAAAGGTCCAGAATTTTCTCCTTTTTGAAGCGGCTCTGAAGGTTTTATGCCAACTGAGTAGTGGATGACTCTAAAAAGATTGCCTTTGATGGTAGATGCATACACGAAGTGGTGCTTGCTCTTATACCTGAAAGAGAAATCTTTGCATTTTAGCAAGCTTGTTCAATGGCAACGAGTGGGTGGCTGCTTGTCAAACGGTCCAAATGTCTTTCAAACTGGATGCTGGCTGCAATCAGATTGTCATAGTTCTTTGTAACTCTTGTTCAGTTACCTTACAGTTTGCGCCTAGTCGGCTGACTGGGAACCACTTTCTTTCTAATGCTGTCCTATCCAAGTTCTCAAAAACTTGAATATTTTGCTTCCCTCCCTTTTTTTTTTTTCCCAACTTCTTCTACGCACAAAATCCCATCATGTCCTTCCAATAAGCCTCAGAAATTCCTCCCTAGCCTTAGCGCTCTGCTTCAAACACCCCAGCATACAACTCGTCGTCGTACTCGCCCCGGTCTTCTCGACCCCACGCATCACCATGCACATGTGGCTCGCCTCCACGATCACAGCCACACCCTGGGGCTTTAAGATCTCAAATAAGGCCGTGGAGACTTGCTTCGTAAGACGTTCCTGGACCTGCAGTCGCCGCGAGAACATGTCTACGATGCGGGCGATCTTGGAGAGGCCGATGACGCGGCTATTGGGGATGTAACCGATGTGCATCTGCCCACGACGTTAGCAAACACCATGTCTCAGGCTCTCAGAAAACTTCAACGTGGACGTGGGCGTGTGCCGAGGAGAAATCATACCTTCCCAAAGAACGGAACCAGGTGATGCTCGCACAGTGAAGAGAACTCGATATCTCTCACGATGACCAGCTCATCGTGACCTTCGTGGAAGATGGCCCCATTCAGGATCGTGCGCAGGCTCTCTCGGTAGCCCTTGGTGAAGAACAGGAGCGCCTTCGCGTATCGTTCCGGTGTGCGGCACAGCCCTTCTCGGCGGGGGTCTTCACCGATGCATTCTAGTATCGTGGCGACTGCATTCGCGAGCTTGGCTAGCTGGCGACCTTCGTCTTCTTGTTCTGTCGAGTTATTTCTGGCCTGCGCTCCGAGACCTAGGGGTTAGGTAGGTTGATGAGTTAGTTCATGGGTACGATAGAGAGGAGGGAGAGGGGGAGGAGGAGGAGGGGAGACGGACTTGGCCAGCTTAACCCTTCAATATCAATGCCGGGTGTCTCGTCGGCGAAGAAGCTGTCGGCGCGCCGCGTGGCTAGAGGCGTGAGTGGTCGTCGCGCCGCTTTGTTGGGCTGTTCCCCGTTTATCTTGCTGGAAGTGGGGATTGGGATGGGGACAGGGAGGAGGAGGCTCTTATTCGCAATTTCAAATCTGCTGCTGCTGTCCATCTTCGCTCTCGTAGATTCCTTTTCTGAGGGAGGACTACCGCGCGACGTTATCATCACTTACCTGACCTTACCTGACCTTACCTGACCTTACCTGACCTTACCTTACCTTACTTTCACTACCTCTCCTACCACTTTTACAAAATTCCCTCCCCGCGGTCTTTTCTTATCTTGTCTTGTCTAGTATGCTACAGTTAACCAACTGCTGATGAAGTGGAATCGAATGGATAGGCCCAGACGTTTCTCTTTATACCCTTTTTGGGGGGAGGTGGGGTTCGTTTTTGGCTCTTGGTTTTTAGTGACCTGCTGCTGCTGCTGGGGGATCATGATCACTCGTGTGCCCATCTTCTGCTTGTGCTTGCGACGCGTGAGCAAGCAGACAGACACTGTATGGTAGGTTAGTTCTAATCAAGCAGACCAGAGCGAAGTAGAGCGAAGCGAATTTGAGTAAAGCGAAGTTGAGTAAAACAGAGCAGAGCAGAGCAAAGCAGACCAAACTTCAAATCGCAAACATCTCGGCCTGGCTTGGCTTGGCTTGGCAGAGCTGGCAGAGCTGGCTTGTACGTATGTACGTACCTCGAGATATGAGATGTGAGGTTGAAAAGGGAGGAAGAAGAATAGGAGAAAAGGAGAGGTAGGAGAGGGGGGG